AATGTATTCCAGGCCGGCCCGTGACTCACTTGGGAGAATGTGGTGCCGATAGTTCCAGGGCTGCGGGTTCGGATCCCTATATAGGGATGGCCAGTTGGCTCACTTGGGAGAGCGTGGTGCTGACACCAGCAAGTCAAGGGTTAAGATCCCCTTACCGGTCATCTTTTTAAAAAAATAAAATAAGATTAAAATGTTTTCCTACTCCAATTATTTGTATAACATTTCAGAAATCTAGCCTTTGTTTTACTAATGTTGTTATCACCAGCACATGTAATAGATGCTCAAATATTTGCTGAACAGAAGTGAACTTGGGCTTACAGCCCAGGGTTACATTGGCTAGGTCTCCCCTGTTTTGTTCAATATAAGAAAAGTGTTTTCTCAAGTTAAAAAGAAATTGGAAAGATCCTGGCTATTTGCCAGGAGGTTCTGCAACTTTTTTGTAAAGGCCTAATTGCTGTGACATTTTGTTATTCTAATAGTGAAGGTAAATCCTAAAGCTTGGAGCATCCATAAGGAAAGGCATGATGGGTTCCTCTCTGGTGTTCTGATTAAAATGTGTAAATTTGATTTTAAAGGGCTTGCACTGAATAAATGCTCTTTAATTTACGTGATGTACCGTAATGTCAGTCCAAATCCTTGAGCTTCTTTGCAGTTCAAGCAACTGCCTAATACACAGAATTATTCTTCTAGTCCAGTGGTTTTCAACCCAGGGCCGTTTTGCCTTCCAGGGGAAATTGGGCAGTGCCTGGAGATATTTTTGGTTGTCGTGACTGGAAGGAGTGCTACTGGCATTTAGTGGGTCTCAGAGGCCAGGATATTCCTACACATCTTACAGTACACAGGACCTCTCACAACAAAGAATTCTCCAGCCCCAAATGTCAGTCATGCCAAGGTTTAGAAACCCTGTTCTGGTCCCATGTTGGATTCCGCCTCCTCTTCCTTCTTCCTGTCTTTTCTGCCATAAAAATAATTAAAATAGTTTAGAAGTTCCTCATTCTACTCCCCAGAAGCAATCACTGCTAGCAGCTTGTTTTTCATTCTTCTAGTTGTTGTCTTTATGACTTTAATTAAAGTAGTTGTCAGTCCTGGCTGTACATTATTCACCTGGAGAGCTTTTCAAAAATGCAGAAGGCCATGCCCCAGCCTCAAAGATTTATTCATCTTAGGTGGGGCCCACACATTGGTATGTCTTTTAAAGCTCCCATCATTCTAATGTGCAGCCAAGGTGGAAAACCACTAATGTACAGAATTTTATATTTTTTTGATTTGTCATCTAGGATAATTTTTGATTCTCTATTATAAAAGGTGAGGGGAGTTCTATACTTACTCTGTTTTCCATCCCTCCTTCCTCTTCTACCTCCAAATTGCAGGTATTCCATCATTTTCATCGTTTGGACTTTATACATTTTATGTGATTATATTCTATGTTTTGTATAGCTGGATTTTAAAAATTAAAAACATATTAGCAGCATTTACGGTTTGACCACTATGTAACATAAATCTCTGTTCTCATGAGCCTTACAATCTAATGATTAATGCTGGTCTCGTTCTTGTTCCTTTGGAGGTAGGTAACTGGCTTTTTAAAAATTTATTTATTTATTGCTGTTGAGTTAAGTTCCTTATATATTCTGGATATTAGTCCCTTGTCTGATCTGTAGTTTTCAAACACTTTCTCCCATTCTGTAAGTTGCCTCTTCACTTTGTTGATAGTGTCCCTTTCTGTGGAGAAGCTTTTTAGTTTAAGGTAGTCCCATTTGTCTATTTTTGCTTTAGTTGCCTGTACCTTTTTAGTCTCACTCAAAAAAGCACTGCCTACCCCCATTTCACATGGCATTTCCCCTATGTTTTCTTCTAGTAGCTTCATAGTTTGAGGTCTTAAATTTAGGTCTTTGATTCATTTTGAGTTGGTTTTTGTATATGATGAGAGATAGGGTAGATCTAGTTTCAGTCTTGTGCATGTGGATATCCATTTTCCCAGCACCATTTGTTGAAGAGGCTATCTTTCCCCATTGTATTTTTTTGGCACCTTT